TTTTTTTTATTTTATCTTAGTACGTTATTGCAGTCTATTTAAAAAGCGTTACGCGTTATAGTTATAATCTTTGTTGCCGTTTGTGCGGAACTGTTATCTGTAGAAGTAATGATATGCGTCGTGCTTGCGAAAGCTATTACGTTTGCTGTAACCCAGAAATATGGAGTCGAGTAATTATCAAAACCGCAAAGAGTGCAAAGGTACATAATCTTGTTTTATTTTATTTTTTAGAGACTACACGAAGTGTTCTTACTAGGTACATTTTATTGTTGAAAGTTTTTGCGAAATTAATTGGCAAGTGGTGAATAATGCAGCTGCTTCTCTTCTGCTTTTATCAAATTTTAAGAAAGTTTTTCAAAAATTGTGGATTTTGTAGAAATATTTTCCAGGATGGAAGCATTATGTTCATGTTACTCTTTTCATTTCCTGTTTTAAGCTGCTTTCGTTATACTATATGAATAGTACTTGGTTTTTTATAAATTCTCACATCTTTTCTTCTCTTATTACTGCACAAATGGTTTTAAATTTCAGTCGTACGATATAGCCACAGTGGTTGGCAAATTGCATTGCAAAGGATCTGATGAAACTTCTTGTGATGAGGAATTTGGATCTGTTGTAAAGCTTTTTGGTGCATTTTTGCCGACGATTGCAGCTAAAGCCATCTGTATAGAAGATCCAAGTGATAATAGTCGGACTCCAAGTCAAAAAAAGTGGGAAACCATTGTCAGGACCAAGTTCTTAATTAAAAGTTTGACTGATAGAGACCTGGTTTGTGTTGGCGTCATATCCTGCTTACAACCTGTTGCCAAAATACATTCTTCTAAGCGCTGTATTTTTTAGAACCTTATGTTACATTCAATTTCGAAAAAGAATTTCGAAGAATGGGAACTTGGAGCGATAGTGGCTGTGGAACAGGCCGTAAAAGCTATGAAAGCACCTAAGCGACGTAAAGTTATCCCAGAAGAATAAAGTTCATCAGATTTCTGGGAGAACTGGTTTTTTTTGGGATATGAGGATTCTGCCCTGTAGATTGATTTTATATGATCTTTATGTTGAACAATTTTTTCATAAACTTTTTCTTTTGCCTTCTAGATCCACATTCGTTTGCGTTTTTATCTCAGTGTCGGGTAAGCTTGCAGATGGGAATTATTTGACGTATGTGCTACATTAGGCCATATGATGTATATTTTAATATTTTACGCGAATACTTTTCTGATATTTACAAACAATGAACAGTGAGTTGGTCAAGTAGAATTTTAATTTTTTTTTCTCGGTTAATAAGCGTTTCATTAGGCCACATTTGAAGTTTTTATATTTCTGTGATATTAGGCAGGAAAAGGTTTCCTTTTTGAAATAAAGTGTTTTCAGTAGTTGCTTAAAGTCATCTGGGCAACTCATTGTACTTTCTTCCTTCTACTGAAGAGTTATTTGTGTTTTTTCTTTGAAAATTCTTTGTCAAGATTGAATTAGTATGAAAATAGATTATCGTCCTCGTATACAAAAACGATTATACTTGTCACAAGCATCCCTGTATCGAGGCTGAGCTAAGATGCTCGGTTCGTTACAGTATGTTACGGCAAAAGTTCTGTATTGAGCGCACAAACGATCTACGGTTGATGAAACTGACCTGGAGATACCATACGGCGGAGCTCTGGTTGGAAGAACTGGTTTGTCGGGTAGGGGAACGTGACATTTTTGTGCGTACAGAGGGCAAAATATCTGTAATTTTGGATAAATTGTGAAAAGCGATGGCTTAGAAGAAGAAATGAGAAAAGACAAGACTGGTAAACGATTGACGTACAATTGCTTTTTGGCCGAAACGGAACGGGTCGGGGCAGACGTATAAATACCGTTGCTTGTATTCACGGCATAGCTCTGTGTAGTCTTTCGCTGTTCGCCTTGGAACTGGTGTTGAAGTTGGTATTGCTGTATAACTAAAATTACTCGGAGTTCGAAGTAAATTTGTGCGTACACAACTTTAGTCATTTTTCTGCTGCAAAGTTTTGTAGTTCAATGGAAGACAAATTGTTCTTTTTTCCCGCAGTTCACTAGTTTATTTCGTTTTCTTGTGGCTTTTTTAGTATTTCTCCTGAATTCCTGGTTCATAACCAACGAGTGTACTTTAGAGGAACTTACAGTCGAGTTGAGATTGTTGGTTGGTCAGGCTCCCCTTCCGATATTTCGAAGCAAACGGTTTCATAAGCATCACAAAATTCTTTTGACTCACTTTCGACTTTACGACTGCTGCTAATTGCACATACTTTAATGTATTCTTCCCTCAGTTCAATACAGGCTGCCTAGAATCAACTACTTTTCAGTATAGACAGTGATTTTTAAAGTTAAAATGACAACCTAGTATTGCACTCAAAAGATGCAGAAGCACCTTAGCAGAACTCTTGGAGTAATCGGTAATAAGAAACACTGAGGAGACATGGACTCTAACTCTAAAAACGCTAGATAATGTCGATGTTTTGGATTCAATGTTGGTGGAAGAATTAGTCATTGAGGACTATTTTAGTAGCCTTGCTCCGTCCGTATTTTTTAAGATCCCTCTTTTTGACAGACTCTTAGCTTATATTGATTGCAGTTGGCACATTTATACCACGTGCACATTAGGTATTGAGATTTGTTTTATTATCAAGATTTACGCAGCTTAATTAAGAGTTTATAGTTCATGTAATACGCAAGTTGCAAGATTTTACGTTAGGTGTTTCAAACAATTGTGAGAAGGATGAGCAGGCTTTTATAAACAGTTCAAAGACTGATTCTCTTTTAGCTTCAAAAACTATCTGTATAAAATGAGATAGGTTGTTGAAGCGGAATCAAAATTTGCTTTGGGTAGTAGTGATTACATACCCGGTCAGCAGCAGCTTGGCGAAAACGTTCTTTTTCGTCTCCCGTCTTTTCTTCTAGAGAGGTGGTTGTCGCTCCCATTGCCTTATTTTTACTCAGACATTGTGGCAACGATGGGTTTTGATCACAAGCCGCATTTAGTGCAGCATCCGCGATGGCATGTGCTTGGATTGAGATGATAAGAATGCTACTGATGGAAGAAATATACCATAGCATTCTGAAGTCTTGATCATTAGTAGATAGATCTATTTATCTAACAAGCGTCTTGTTAGTGATCAGTTCAAAAATTTTTTCTAATTTTAATACAAGAAACAGACTTGACGAACACGAATGGAGATAAGAATATAGATTATTGGGTGTATGGTTATTGCATTGAGTCTTCTAGAGTAAGTAACAATAAATACACAAATTGTGTAGAAATTCTTGTAAGGGTAATAGAGTGGATAAAGGAGGAAGATTATCAAATTTAGAAATGGGAGTTGACAAAAAATGAACAGTTATGAATAAACAAATTCC